GAAGAATCTAAATAGGAGTATAATTCCTTTCTATCATTCTAACTATGATGCTTAACCTCATTGTATTCCTTCATTATTAAGAATACAAAGTTTTATTAGGAATTTCTTGTGTTTATATTACATCATATTTTTATATATATGACCATTAAAGTGAATGTCCTGTCAGACCCTTCGCTGCTGCTCTACCTGTATAGGGTAAAAGTTAAGAATGTAGATAGACACAACCTTCTACAACATCAGAGCATCCTGACTGAGGTTCTATCAGAGACAATTCAACCAGATCATACAGTCAGATTGGTTGAAGGTTTTTTTTTATCTAAGGAAAACCAGATTATTGGATCAACTCATTGAGTTGAAAGCAATCCCTCACACCAAGCAACGACAAAGGGATTGCTGTATTTGTGTAATCTAAAGAACATATATGTGATGTAGGTACATTTTTCTGGTTTCCAAAAAGAATGAAAGGAACCAAAATATTAAAACAAGCCAATTCCTTAGGTCCCCCTATTCTTTTCAATTATTCATATTCTTTAATTATTTAATTAACATTTTGCCAATTGCAATGTACTTTTCCCTGTGTGCTTTTTCAATTATGTGTTCTATTTGCAGCACTTTGAATAGTTTTGCTACTGAAATGTGCTACGTACATAAAAAAACTTCCCTTGCCAATTCATAAGCGGTCATGTAGCCCTGACTTTTTTTTCCTGCAAGTTGCCACCAGTGCAGAACTTGCAGCAGGTAAATTCAGCCTTCGGTTTCACTTGTGCATTCTCATGTGCTTGTGAAACGTCACCAGCTTCAGCCCAAGCACTTTTCTAATTCACACCGAGAACGGACCAAGTCCCCGGATGTTGTTCTCGCCCCTCCCTCTTTACCGAGCATGCATCAGAGCAGACTTGTTTGTTCTCGAGGGTTACAGCTTCCCAGCATGCACAGCGGGCAGCAGCTTTCACAGTGGAGCCTCATAGAGCACAGAGTATTAAATCAAAAGTTCTTTCTTCTGTTGCTGTTGCAAGAACATTATACTTTTAAGTGTCACTATATGGCCCATTTACTGATTTAGTGTTTAATCTGAAAAAGTTCCGATGTTGAGAGGACCGCGGCAACCAGCGGACCTCCGAGTCTAACCGCAGCCATGGCTAACGTTAGCCCGTCTGCAGCAGCCCTCTATCAGCATAGCCCTGTGTGACGTACCGCTGGCTCTGATGCCGATTTTTTGGTTTTATTTGTAAAAATGTTTATCTTATTTGTGTTTATCTGACTGTGTTAAATATTATTCCCCCACAAAATGAAAAAAGTAAGAATGTATTACTATCTAGAGAGTATTAATAACAGGAGGTGAGATGCAGCTCCAGAAAAGCCGAGTGTGGTGACGTCACAAGTACGCTTCTGTTCCAATTGACCCATATTTATACTGCGAGCTCCCGTCCTCCCCAAGTACACACTTGCCTGTGTTCTTGTCAAGAACATACTTGGCAAGAACATGAGTCCGTACTCAGGTTCTTGTGAATTGAGAAACCAACAAGACTTCTAGATATCATAATTGTGACATTACTAATTGCTTCCTGAAATACGTGGCTGAAACCACTCTGGGCGGGTAGGAAAACCAAAAGTACTAATGACCCAAAAGACTCCAACCTTTCACTGTAACAAGCTGCAGCTTACCAACCTGAAACTCCTCAATAATCATACGAACAGAAATCAGCTGCAGGCCCTAGAAATCCACCTTTTTACTATTCAAAGAAACTAGATTAGAACAACATGGGAAAGTGAGAAACCAACACTTTGGGAGCAGATGCAAACAGATGTGTAGAGTGCCTTAGGTTTTCCAGTGACATACTGTAAATTACACTGCAAAAACTATCTGAAATTAAGTAAAAATCTCTTAAATCAAGTGTATTTACCCTTAATTTGAGCAGGTAAATAAGATAGTTTGCCAATTGAATGAGTATTTTTACATTTAAAATAAGATAATTAGATAATATGCACTTGAAATAAGATAATGCAATAGTTTTTTCTTATTTCAAATGTAAATTGTCTTGTTCCATAGGCAAAGTGTCTCACTTACCTCCTCAATTCAAGAAAAAATGCACTTATTTTAAGAACAAATAACTTATTTAGATTTACATTTTTTGCAGTGTAAGTGTTTCATGAAAGTTCAGCTTGTTGACGCTTGATCTATATTTTATCTATTTTACCAGGAAGAGTCCCATTGAAATTAAAAACCTCTTTTTCAAGGGAGTCTTTGCCAAGATGCAGTGAAAGTTACGTTACAATTACAAAAACACAACAATACACAATGAACATTCATTCAAAACTATTAGAATTTAAGGAGGCTTTTCCAAACCCCTTTCACTCTGGACTTAAAAAAGTTCATTGTTATAAATTCTGTTAGTTTCCAATGTTTTTTAAATATTCTTCCATGTAGTTGGATCAAAGTGAAGAAAATATCTTTCCCCATTTCTTCAGTAGAATTCTTTACAATGATCAGATTACAAGAACTTCGGGGTGAAAGGTTAATCGGCAGAGATAGAATCCAGGCGTTTTTGCTATAATCAAGGGAGATTACTGGAAATCAGTGAGCTGCAGAATTATGTTCCCAGTGCAAAGCTTGCAGTAAGTTTTTATGAAAGCAAGTGCCTGCACACGGAAACAAAGACTTAAAGATATGACTTTGATGCAAAGAGCTGTAAAGAAACACAAGCGTCCTTTTGGAATTCTGCCAGAGGAGAAGTGGAGCTTAGGGGTATTTTCAATCTAGAAGTCTCTGCCAAATCTTACTTGCACATCCAGGCTGCCACGTCATCTGTCTCTGCCAATTTTTTTTTGTGCTTAAAGCCTCCTCAGCAGCCAATAGCATCAAAGACTCCCATTCAAGAGCTGCCTCATCAGTGTCAAGTGCCTGCCATCCAAAAAGCTCCAACCCACCTCCACTTCCTTCGCTGCTCTGATCTACCTCCTACTCAATTCATCTCCCTTATTCCTTAATCTTCTAGTCCACCAGCAGTGATCAGGCCCCAGGGGAGAAAACATCTCCATTCCATGCTGTATGTCTACAGACGAGGTCTGAGTGCCAAACAAATTCTATTAATTCATCTCTATAAACTCTCTAATTGCTTCCTTGTGAGTCTCTTTACATTGAAATGATGGACAGGAAGAGACTGGTGTGGTTTTAGCTGAATAATCCTTTTTTATATATATTTAGAAGCATTACCACAATAAAAATACAAACTGCAGTGTTGTAACAAGTCAGCATTTTTTAACTATACACAAATTCATATCAGACAGAACTTTTTTCATAAATATATTAAAAGTAATCTACTTTTCATTGATTATTTTTACTCAACTGCGGTCTTAAACTAGAAATTTTAAGTTGACTTAAACTGACAGATTTAGCTATTGCCTTCCAACTTTAATAAACCATGTGAAGAATAACATGAAGTTTATTATAACTATAAGGTAAAAATACAAGATTTTCATATTTCTATTAGGTCAAATATGAACATGGTGTAATTACACCTAGGATTTTAGGATTTAACTCTTTTTCTTGGAGAGTGTTGGCCTAGTGGGTAACAGCAGTGCGCTTGTGTTCTGAGAAGTTTCCAACCACCTGGTTTGATGGGGGATGGGTTAAATACAAAGATACATTTCTCCAGTATGAGATCAATAAAGTTCTGTCATTATTACTTTAAAAAGGGCTAATGCAAAACATTGTCTTTGATATCCACATCTTGAATTTCTCTTTGGATTTAAATCATTTATCTGAATTTTGCAGCTGAAGGCAAAGGTTTAACTTTCAACCTTGATGGAGCAGCATTCTCTTTTCTTCAAAACTGTGCTGCTCTTCATGTCGATTTGCACTATAAGCTGAAGTGCCTGCTAAGGAAAAGAGCTGTAATCTGATTATTCCTGCAGATATCAGGTCACGTTCTGTTAACTACGTGCAGGTGCAAGCCTGTGCTGCCAGCTTACAGCGCCATTCGTCATAAATGACTGAATGAAGCACAAAAAACAGAAAGCTCATTGTTGAATGAGCCTTGCAGTTTAATCTGCTTATTGCAGCTGTTGCATTCACTTTTATGAAGCATCTCCTCTGTGATATCTATGCCTGCTTAGCACAGGTGATTAACTAGCAAAATATACTGCTTCTTCTTCTCACCACCTGAGATGAAATAATCTGATGGGAGAGAGCAAACAAGCAGATGGAATCCGCTTTAATTGTCACGTGCACGCCACCTGCAAAGCAGCGCGTGCAAGGAGCACTAAAAATATTATTGAAAATCTCGGCTAAAGGGCGCCCCCTGTTGGTTTCTCTTTAAAGTATCTCTGTGTGTGTGTTTTTTTTTTTTAAATCCCCTTTTCAATGAGTCACATAAAGCAGCTGCTGCAGGCCACAGTGAATGAATAAATCAATGTGTTTGGCTTTGGATAAACAACTGAGGCTGGACCTTGGAATACACAATTACTTTGCATTTTTGTTTAATCATATAAATCTCTAACACCTATCTGTTATGACTATTTCAGAACGGGATTTTTCTGAGAAAAAGAAAAAAGTTCCCTATTTAAAATAATAAAATTTAATTCAAAATATCCATCTTTAAGCTCAAAGTTTTGCAAAAGCATGATTTTTTTAGGAGCATATTTCTGATTCTGGGACCAATTTAGTACCTATTTCTCTTGCGCAGAAGAAGCATCGGTTCTAAATGTATTAATGTGTAATTGTTATAGTCTTGTTTGCGCACATTGGGTAAATCTTTGACCCATCATGCATCCATTTTTATTATGCACTGCCTTTTGGAAGCTCTGATTGCCCCCGTTTACCAAGCTCGCCTTCTTTCTTCACTGGAAATGACAGACTGACGCACCACTGGGAGTTTTGTCCGCTTTCTGCCTTCCTTCCCAGACCTACTCGCTACACTGTTACGCGTTCATAGGGGGGGCGGGGTCCGGATCGCGCATAAATACTCCGCTCCTGGCCGCTGTTCAGACAGTACCGCAAACGCAGAGCGACCGAGCTGCCTTTTTAACGACACGATCCAGACACCAGGAATAAAACATGATCAAGAAAATGTCTCCATCCGACAGCGACTTTGACATCCCAGCTAAGAACTGCTACAGGATGGTGATTTTAGGCTCCACGAAAGTTGGGAAAACGGCCATCGTGTCCCGGTTCCTGAATGGGAGATTTGAGGAACAGTACACGCCGACCATCGAGGACTTTCACAGGAAACTGTACAACATCAAGGGGGACGTTTACCAGCTGGACATACTAGATACATCAGGGAATCACCCCTTCCCTGCCATGAGGAGGCTTTCCATACTCACAGGTACTTAAATTGTTGTTGTAAATTGTGCCAATTTCCGTGCGTCTTTACGCACGGCTGTTGCGCGCGTGGCTTTCAGCTTATGGTGCTGTGTTCATTATCAATGCATGCTGAGTGTATTCAGTTTAGAAAAAACTAACAGTTGCATCCTTTGCTTTTCTCCAGGTGACGTGTTCATTCTGGTCTTCAGTTTGGACAACCGCGAGTCCTTCCAGGAGGTGCAGCGGCTCAAGAAGCAGATCTATGAAACCAAGTCATGCCTGAAAAACAAAATCAAGGAGAACATTGATGTGCCTCTGGTGATCTGCGGAAACAAGGGCGATCGGGAGTTTCACAGAGAGGTGCAGCAGGAGGAGATCGAGCAGCTGGTGGCCGGTGATGAGAAGTGCGCCTACTTCGAGATCTCGGCCAAGCGCAACGAGAACATTGACAAGATGTTTCAGACTCTGTTTACGTTGGCCAAGCTACCTCACGAGATGAGCCCTGACCTGCACAGGAAGGTGTCCGTGCAGTACTGCGACATGCTGCACAGGAAGTCCCTGAAGCACAAGAAGATGAAGGACATCGGGGAAGCGTATGGCGTGGTGACTCCGTGCGCGCGGAGACCGAGCGTCCACAGCGACCTAATGTACATCAAAGAGAAAGCAATCGGAGGCGGGCACGGAAAGGACAAAGAGAGGTGCGTGATTAGTTAAAGGGAAACACGAGGCTCAGACTTGAGACGCAAAAAGAAGTCTTTTAAAGAAAGAAAGAGCCTGGCGCGTGCAGAGCTGCCTGCTGCTGTTCTGACGTAGAACGGAGCTTTGAAAGCGCCGCCGCTGCCGCGAGCCTTGGCGCCGCACCGTTTCCACGGACACTGACCGGACGCCAAAGTCCGCTTCAAAACTCCACTGCCCACGAGACGCATAAGAATGTTCGCTTGTCCTATCAGTAAGAGCCGTATCTGTGACGTGGCTTCATACCTAATGAGACTCACGCGTCAATGCGTAAAATGTGCTTGTTGACTTTTGGCATTTGGACAGCTGCCAGAGACTCATAGGGCTCAGGAGGCGCGATGTTAGCAGAGAGAATGCTGTTTACATTTTACTCTTGGTTTTATAAAGGCTAAGTACACTTGAATGTTTACTCTGGATTGTTTTTATTGTTGAATGTATTATTTATTGTTGGTGTCGATTTTTCAACAAATGTCAAAATCTAATAAAAAAAAAAAAAACTAAATCAAAGTTTTGTTTGAATCCCTTTGTGATCTGTTATTCATTGCCTTTTTTTTTCATTTAGACACCCCAGGAATTTAATAAAGATATTCAGAAGCCTTCTGCAAGAAAGAAACAAGGTTTATGACCCAAAAACAAACAAGAATATTAGATTTTAAAGGTATTTTGGCTAAAGAGCATCCAAAATGAACAAACGTCAAGCATCACATGGTTAAAAAGGTTACTCTCATAAAACAAAGTTGTAACCTGTTAGCCCCCAGCATAATTTACAACAAAAAACAAACAAAAAAACAGTTTACATGCTGGTTTCTCATGTTGCAAAGCATCCTTCTGTGGAACCTGCATCCAGAAATTATAGATTTTAATACAGAGGAAAAATATATAACATGGAAATAATAGGAAGATTGGATCCAATTGGTTTGTATCAAAAGGACCCTGTGAAGAAAAAACTAGTTAAAACCTAAGCTTTAATAAAGGAGGCTCCAGTACTCAAATCACAAGCTGTAAACTCCTCTTAAAGTCACAAAAATGGATTTGATCAACTGTTGCATTACAGAGTGCGCTTATTCAGACTTTACATCTAATTATCCCAAACAAGGAGGCTACAGTGAGAGCTAAAAACATCCCTCATTTATATTGTGTCACCACACAACCACCAACATCTATATGTTAACATATATAGGATTCACATGAAAGAAACCAAACAACATTTAGGAACACTAAAGAAACATGACTAATAGGGAAACTTAAAAAAAAAAAAAAAAGTGATATGAAAATTGTATTTTTAGATTAAAATAAATTCTTTGAAAGTGCATATTTTGCTGCTAATTCAGTTTGCTAAACTAATGTCAGTATTTCAAAAGATACAGAAAACAACAACAATAACATATGAGGTAATCCCATAAAGTCTTTGGAGGAGTTTGTTGATATGTTAAACTTTGGGCAGTAAATGTCAAACAAAGGTTAAACATTTTTTGTTACTTTTTCAAAGGAAAACATAATTTGTTACACAGATATACCTAAATTACGTGAAGGACAACATGCACGACGTTTGGGAAAAACAACACATCCTAACAGGCTAAATTATGTCTGTTTTTCACCATATAAACTGTCCTAGTACATCGATACTTCAAACTATTTTGCTGCAAAATGCATAAAAATAAAAAAAAGTATTATTCTGTACAGAGGCAAATCTTTGCATGTAAAAACATTTTATAATGAACGTGGATGCCTAAAGTAGTAGAAGTGACCTCAATAACTAGCAGATTTATTATTACCATAAATATTTCTGAAATGTTGATCTATAACAATAATAAACCACACACTCTCTATGGTTTACTTTTAAAGGGGTTATTGTCATTTTAGTATCTTTTGAATTTTATTAAATATATTCTAGGCTAAAGTACCACTAAAATGTGTAATCAAATATTTTTTAATGACTTTTATTTAAAAAAAGAAAAAATATCAGTATACAGAAAAAAAAATCCCTTAGTTATGTGTGCCATTTGCTGTTATGATCCTGAGTAGTTTTTATCACTTCTGAGTTTATTAATCAACACATCTTCAGATTATTACAGTAGTCTAAATTAATTATTGCTACAAAGGTCTTGTCTTCATTGTTTGTTTAGGTGAGGACAGTAATGCATCTGTATTCAGTATAATTTTATGCTCTCACCTCAGTATAAAGTTCACTGGTTTCCACTGTTCTTTTCTGGTTCCTCACTGTGACTCCTTGTTTACAACTGGTTTCAGATATATGCTTTCTACTTCTATTATAAAACACTTTCTATTTTCTGTCTGCATTTTATTCCTGCTCTTAGCAGACCATGCATGACATTAACTCTCTCAAGTAGTATACTCCACAGAACCAGTCAACCTTTTTTAGTATTTTTAAGGATTCTAGGATTCTGGTTTGTGAACTCTGAAGTCAGTGACTTTGCATTAAAATGTTCTTTTTCAGCTCTACTTGCAGTTTGGCATCTTCTCCAGTATATTTGCTTTCTCCTCCTATTGGTGATAGGTCTGTCAGAAATCAGACTATTCCTTGTGTGCCTGTTTAGTTTATCCTATTAATAGAGTGTGTCACCTAAGCTGAAGTGAATTGGTTCCAATTGATTTTATTTAAGGTTATCCTAATAACGTGGGCTAAAAGCAAAGGCACACCACACTTTTTAGATTTATCCATCCATCCATTATCTGACATGCTTGTCCCAATTGGGGTCGCGAGGGGTGCTGGTGCCTATCTCCAGCTGTCTACGGGCGAGAAGTGGGGTCCACCCTGGACAGGTCGCCAGTCCATCGCAGGGCAACACAGAGAAAAACAGGACATACAACCATTCATGCACATACTGACACCTAAGGAGAATCTATAGAGAGGCCAATGAACCTAACAGTCATGTTTTGGATTGTGGGAGGAAGCCAGAGTACCCGGAGAGAACCCACGCATGCTCAGAGAGAATATGCAAACTCCATGCAAAAAGACCCTGGGTCAGGAATCGAAGCCAGAACCTTCTTGTTGCAAGACAGCAGTGCTACCCACTGCTCAACTGAGCAGCCATCTTTTTTTCTTTTTTTTTTGGATTTATATCACTCTAAAACAAAAAAATGTGTGCCTTTCCTTCCAACTTACAATCTTATCATACTTTGTGTCTGTTTGTCTTCTAAAACAAATATAAAATACAGAAAGTTGAGAAAGTAGAAATATTTTTTTTATTGGGGGGGGGTCCTTTAATAAGGTAATTACAATGATACCTTGCTGTGCAGACATTTTGCTCAGCTTTATTCGGCATCATTTGATCCTCTGAGTTTAGTCACGAGACATGAGGGCCAAGGGTGTTTCCCATTGTGACGTTATCAGCAGTGACCTGCAGACTCTATCCCTGGGAATCTTACACAGAAACAAAGAGAAAACATCATGCGTTGGCCTCTCTGTGTGTGTGTGCTAATGTGAAAACGGTCAGGGGTTCACAAAAAAGATCTGCAATTGGACAGACTGTCCTCCAAACCAACAGAAACACAGGAGCACATGACCACAGAGCAACATAATAACATTTCTGAATTCTTCTTCACTTTACAGCCTAAAAAGTGAAAGTAAATTGCTGTGTTTACTGTAGGTCTGTAAAAACACACAACAAATATATTTCTAGACAGCTAGCAGCAGTGGAAGCTCCACATGTGGGAAGGAATCACATCTCTGCAGGTCTCAGGCAAAACAATGAAGAAGAATTGAATCAGGTTTGGGGTTAGTTACAGGGAAACCACAAACACAAATTAGCTTAATTTGGGTATAATGTGAGGAGCTAAAAAAAAAAAAATTAATAATTGATTAAATTGAAAAATGACACCAAAAAGCATTTATGTTTAGCCGGCTTTAATTCTGATATGAGTTCTGATTGACTGATTCTGAATGAATTCTAGTCCAATAAATTGCTTTCAGGCATTGACCTTATTACTAATAAATCATTTTAATTTATTCTCTGAGTAAATGAAGACTAATCAACACAGCAGACAGGTCAGGGAGAACGTTATGGAGAAGTTAAAAGCAGAGCCATGTTAAAACACAATATCAAAATCATTTCTTAAAGGACTGTTTACCTCACTATCAGAGAACAGGAACATGGCTGTCTTCTTAAAGCGACACGCCTGACGAGAAGAGCACAAAAAAAAAAAAAGCAGTAAATGCTTCCTAGAATCTCTTTTGGAGATGACATCTGTGCTGGGAATACTTTGGATTGGATAAGTATTAGTCCATAAATCTGCCCTTAATGGAAGCATGGAAACAAAAGACAAAGTTAGAGGTTTATTGTATGTTAAAGGCCATGTAGGGAAATGTATCACCTAGATCAGGCATCCCCAAACTCGGTCCTCCAGGGCCACTGTCCTGCAGGTTTTAGAGGTTTCCCTGCTTTAGCACAGCTGATTATAATGATTGCAGTAGAGCAAAAGCCTGTTAATCAGCTTTCAATTAAAATCAGCTGTGCTGGAGCAAGGAAACCTCTAAAACCTGCAGGACAGCGGCCCTCGAGGACCGAGTTTGGGGATGCCTGACTTAGATGATGCTACTGCAGCAGCTAACCATCTACTGTTTCTTCCACATTGAAAGATTTTCTGAATAGCTTTGTTTTTAGTAATAGTTGCTTTTGTGTGACTGTAGATATAATTTCCTCTCCACTGTCACTAGACGCTTATCCAGGAGGAGTAAATGCTGCAAGTCAATGAGTCAATTCCCTTTGGTTGGTTTCCTAAGATACATACAAATTTGAATCAGTCTGTCTGTATGCTTTAATTTAACTCATTCTCTAAAGTGCCTTTAGAAGAAGATGTGTGTTGTAAATTGGACCATATAAACAGACTGGGTTTGAAATGTGACAAGAATGGAGGGATTTAGTCTGATAAAATGAGACCAAAGTTGCAAAGAAAAACTAACTACAGATGACCCTGAACACAGCAACCTAATGGTAAAATATGTTAGCGGCAGCATAATGCTGTGGGGATGCAATGCAGTGATAGATGGAGCCAATAAAGAGGCAACTCTGGGAAAAAGCTGTTAGAAGCAGCGAATTAACAAAGCAGCACCACTGTTCTCTTTTTGATTGAGCATTTTACATGATAAAACTTTAAATTTATGGAGGACAGCTAAAACATTTAATTTTTGTAAAAAAAAAAAAATGAACGGAATAAATAAAGGACAAGTCAAATAAATAAAATACATAAAAAAATAAACAAAAAAAGAACAGAAACAACATAACTGACAGACAAAAAGGAAAAACAAATAAAAAAAAACGCTGAAGTAAACAGCACAGAAGTAAAAATGAATTGATGTGTACCAAGAGTGTATAAGACATTCACAAAAAATATATATATAAAATAAATATTCTGTAAATGGTTGATAAATATGTTGAAACAATGACAGTCCAAGATTAAATATCTTATTTATTCCAAATATAGACTAAATATAGAAATATGAA